GGAGGAGGGCGGAGGAGGAAGAAGAACAGGAGGAGGAGGAGGAGGAGAAGGAGGTGGAGGAGGAGCAGGAGGAGCAGGAGGAGGGGGAGGAGGAACATGTGGAGCGGCGGGAGCCGGGATGAGGGCAGACGAGGAGCAGGAGAATGAGGGAGGCGTGGAGGGTGGTGGGGGGCGATGAGGAGGTAGAGGAGGAGGGGTGGTGGAGGAGGAGGAGGAGGACGAGGACGAGGACGAGGACGAGGACGAGGGGCAGCCGTGTGCGCGCGAACCTACCTCGCGCACAGAGCAGCCGCGGCAGCGGCCATGCGCAGCACCCGATCCTGGGTGCCCGCGATTCCCAAACAGCCCCAGCAGAAGAACGATGCTACGAGGTCACCAGCGACCCGCCGAAACACATACGGCGACCATTCGGGGGGGGGGAAGGCCCAGACGGGGCGCTGGCCATACCGTCGGCTCAGTCAGCGGGGATTCCGGGTGACCGCACGAGTCTGGGAGTCGGACCGTTCTCCGAGGATGTCTCGGGCGGCTGGGGCCTCCAGGGTCCCAGAAACGGTGTGGTGACGGACCGTGCGGTCAGGCGTTTCTGGATTTCGAGCTCACTGTACGGTCTGCCACCGCACCGTTTCGGGACCCCCAAAGCATGCCGACACATCCTGATGCCCACCCCAGAGACCAAGGTATCGTTAGGGGGCGCCGCGTAGCACTCGCGGCACGCGAGAGCTGATACGTGCTTGCCAAGGACATCGTTGTCATATTCACAGGTGGTGCTGCGGCTGTTGGCGTAACGGCCCGAAGAGGCGACCACGGCAGACGCGGTGCCACCAGCCCTCCGCGCTACAGCCTCATTTCGAAGAAGAAGAAGAAGAACAACAACAACAACAACAACAACATGCGCAGACCTCAACTTTCGGAGCTCCGCGCGGAGTTCTTCGATCTGTGTGTGACCCCCCCTGGCGGCGCCTCCGTCGCCGCCCCTGTCGCGCTGGGCGCACTAGGGAGGGGAGTCCAGCGCAGAACCAAGAAATCCCCGCGGAGCTCCTAAAAGAGTATGTTCATTCAGTTTTCCCCGTCTTTCTACTTACACACCTACCCCGACGCCGCCTACTGCCAGTCGACACCCGCCTTGGAGTCGCCCGCCCGTCATCGTGCGCCCTCGAGGCGTCGGCAACAGCGTCGTCCATGCGTGGCGCAGTGCGACGGTAGACAGCAGAGGGTGACGACATGGACGAGATCAAATTGGTCATCGATTCAAGGGCGGTGCACCAGACGCTACCTGAGACGACATAGGCTTCACAAGGGCAGCAGCCCTTCGTTCCTTTCACGTCGCCCTATACTGGGGGTAGGTGGAGGGCTGCGCAGCTACCTGAGACAGCGCGCATTACTTCAACAGAGAAGCGACTCCTGATGTCCTGCAGGCCGTCCCGTGCAGAGGCGGGCGCAGATCTGCCTGAGACGGCGAGATGCTCTTCGATAGCGCACCAACTCATGCTGTCTTTCAGGTCGCCCCCTGCATTTAGTGGGGAGCGCGAAGCTACTTGGGACGCGCGGACGACTGCGGAAGCCGCGATTCACGTCGGCACCCGCGGGAACAAGCTTGATGTGTTTGCCGCCGACCAGGCCGTCAGCGTTTTGGGCTGCATCCGATCGGCGGAGGTACGCGGCCTCGCGTGTGTCCTGCAGTGCATCTCTGTGGTGTCCGTCCAGAAGGCAGCAGCCCGCATCATCGCGCCATGGCGGCTGGAGTTGAGGAGGGCACCTTCGGGCTCTCCAAGACCTCCAGGTTTGGACCCGGTCGGCTCCAATACTCTGGAGAGTTTGCACCATTCCGTGGCATTCGAGCCGTCAGACCACTCGAGCCGTTGACGGCCCTCACATGTCAGGAAAGTTTGCCCGACGCTTCAGGAGGACCGCAACCATGCTTTGAGCCGTCCTCAACATGTTCTGGCGATTATGTCTGAATCATCTCCCTGCATATGAATCAATAACGCCGCCAACTGTAGCTCGAACCTCCTGTATGATGTGTCCCACCGTAACACGTTGACCAAGAAAACCGAACTTGAGCCACGACAGGGTCGACGAAGTGATCCGCGCATTTGGTGAGAGGCAGCCATGCCAGCGCCAATGTAATCCCTCTGTTGGCCGCATCTTTGTCGTTCTCCTCCTTCTGATTTCCCCCCCTGTTCTTTCCGCCGCCTGCTGATTGGCCAGCCTGGGGCGCAGGCGCGCATTGATGGGTAGACCCATGCGCCCACCGTCGCCTTCGCGACATGTGAAGACAAGGATGGCGGGATGCGGGGAGGGGAGGGGTCGGAGGTTGATAGACCTCCTACCCTGACACGTCGATTAGCGAAGTGGCCGTTTTCGGTTCGCGAGAGGGCGGCGCGGAAGTCATTTTTGCGGGTCCAGGTCCGTCGGCTTCGGTCTCAGGCCGTTTTCATTTCAGGGTGGTTCATTGAAGGGAGGTTTGTCCACCGCCGAAGGGTAGGACAGAGATCGGGACGACCAGAATGGGTACGGAGAGAATGGGCACAAGACCATTGTGGCCGCGCGCGGCGTCGGACGGAGCCGGTTCGGACCCCTCAGTTACACTCAGTTCCCCTCAGTTACACTCAGTTTCTTTCAGTTGCACTCAGTTTCCCTCAGTTGCACTCAGTTTCCCTCAGTTACACTCAGTTTCCTTCACTTACACGCAGTTTCCCTCAGTTACACTCAGTTTCCCTTAGTTACACTCAGTTTCCCTTAGTTACACTCAGTTTCCCTCAGTTACACTCAGTTTCCTTTCGGTTACATTTAGCTTTCCTGGCGCTGCGTTTGCGGCTTGGTATCCTACAACTGCAGCCTCTTTCTGACGCAAGGAACTGAGACGAAACTGAGGGAAAACTGAGGGGGACAGCGGCGCCCCTTTGTCAACACCTCCCTTCGCCCCCTCCTTTCAGTTTCCGTCAGTTGCGCTCAGTTTCCTCTCGGTTGCATTTAGCTTTCCTGGCACTGCGTTTGACGCAAGAAACTGAGACGAAACTGAGGGAAAACTGCGGGGGGCAGCGGCGCCCCTGTGTCAACACCTCCCTTCGCCCCCTCCTTTCCCATCTTCTTCCGCCATCCTTCCTCGCTGCTCTGCTTCCCTCATGTTCCTTCCTCCCCCCTCCCTTATCCGTGTCCTGTTCCTGTTGTTGTTGCTCCTCCTCCTCCCCTCGTGCTTCGGGGCGTCAGGATTTCCGGGGTCGCGACCTCATGATGATGATGATGATGGTGATGAGGATGATGCTGATGATGATGATAGTGATGGTGATGATGATGATGATGATGATGGCGATGCGTATGACGATGAGGAGATGAGTATAATTGTGACGGACAGCGGGGGTGAACAACATGATGGGTCGAGGACAACGAAGAAGAGGAAGAGGAGGAAGAGGAGGAGGATGGTGGTGGTGGTGATGGTGAGGGGGATGAGGAGGAGGAGGAGGTGGAGGAGGAGGAGGAGGAGGAGGAGGAGGAGGCGCGTGGCGCCGCCGGTTCTGGCTCACCACGCTGCGGCGCCGCATGCTAAGCACGATCCGGTCCCACAGCGCACAGCGTCATCTCCTCGAGCTCCTGCCAGCCTCCCGCCCCGCGGAGCGGAGCGACACGCTATCAGCTCGCCAAGGCATAGCGTACCGCCAGGGGCGCCGCTGCGACACGCTCAGCAAAAGTCCCTGGCCGTAGGCTTCTTGGCGGTTTTGGGCCTTGGCTGGGACTGCCAGCGCGTCCTTGTCGCCACGAGGCCAGGTTTTCCAGAGAACTATCCGGCAGGCTGCAAACGCCACGTTGGGCGTATCAGAAAGGGCCTTGCCTTCAAGGGTCGAAGGAGTTGTCATATCTTCCTCGGCGGAAGGCAGCGGAAGGGCGGCGGAAGGTCGTCGGAAGTAGAAGATGTCCCCCCAAGAGATGAAATCAATTTTGGGTTCAAGGTCTCCGAGACCGCCCACATGAGGGGTCCGAGGGGCCGACAGAAACGGGAGGGGCCCAGATTTCCAGGCGCAATCGAGGCATCATCGGGGGCGCCAGAGAGGGACTACAGGGCGGCAGTCATTGTGGCTCATTGAGTGCGGTTTTTGAAGGAAAATTGCGTTTCCCATCACTCGCAAGGTGTAGGGCCTCGTCCAGGGAGGTTCTTTGCTGGCGTTTTCGTGGGCTCACTGGGGTTTTGCCAGCCTCCGGATGCTCAGCCGCAGACGCGCCTCGCCAGGAGCGGCCCCCCAAGTGTGCCTGGATCGTCCCTTGAGAGGCCGCCGGAGACCGGGTGTGGCGTCCTGAAAACACCAGGCGCCCGACAGGGGGTCAGGACTGTGACTTATTTTTCTTCTTATTCTTCTTCCTCCTCCTCCTCCTCTTCTTCTTTTTCGTCTTCTCCTTATTCCTCTTCCTCTTCTTCTTATTTTTTTTTTTTTGATTTTCATATATGCACATTATTATTTTCTTATTCGTATTATTCGCCCTCTTCGTCATAACACTGATGGTTACCATTGTTTCTTGTTATATTGTATTTGGTATTGTTTTCTTGTTATCATGATGGCTCTTCGCATTCGTATTTGTACTCGCATTCGTATTCGCATTCCTATTCGTATCATATGTATTTTTCTATACGTATTATCAGTAGTTGTGATGTCTATGATCATCAGAGTATGAGTATAATCAATATGTTCGTATAATTCGTATCATTCTTGTCACTCTTATCATTATTATTGACATTATTATTATTAACCTTTTTGTTTTTCTTCTTCTGCTTCTTTGTTCGACACGCTCCAAGGCCCCCGCTCGTCCGCGCCCCATGCTTTTGGCCCCAATGCGCACCACCCCCTCTTCCTGGCCCCCCTGGGTCCGAGCAGATGGGGTTGGAGGATCGCGCCGCATCGTCGATGCATCGGCGATGCGGCCCGATGTGGAGCTCGATTTTCTCCGCGCTGGCGTCGTCGATGCATCGCCGATGTCGCCGATGCATAGGCGATGTATCGCCGATGTAT